GGGGGGGATGGGAATTGATAGCAGTTTTTCTCGAAAAATATGTACGAGATGCGGACGGTAGTATTCCCCCAAAGCCATAGAAGCATGTGGAACCAAATTTGACTTTGTTGGAGCATGCGCAGAAATATCCACTCTCTGGTCGTTGTAGAGCTGAAAAGAATGTTGTATTACGACTTGATCTCAAATCACATAAATATTTCCAACTTTTTGAAATCGTCCTCCTTCTTTCCCCATCAGCTCATCAGGTGGTCCCTCTTCAACAATACGACCTTCTTCCAGTACGATAATTCGATCACAGTTTCTTACTGCAGTCATTCTACAAGGTTAATGGGATTTAGAGGCGAACACACACAATTTGTTTGTAGGTGACAAATATTTGCAAAATAACCTGTGTGCAATTGTTATTGTGGTTAGACCCTCAGATGCAAGATCAATTGCATGTTGGACCTCCTCTTCGTGGATACTATCCAGAGCAGAAGTTGCTTCATCAAAAAGCATTACGGTAGGTTTCCTGAACGACATGAGAAGATTAGCAAGATCGAATGAAAATAAGAATTTGATTAACCCGTGTAATCAAGGCTTCCAAAATTACTATGCATAAATACTACGCTAAATATATTTAGCATTCTGGTAGTGATAATATCCTATATATGGGGTAGGTAGGGTGAGCTCAGTGAATTAACCTAGGCAAGCATAATTTGGCCCATTCGCCTTGGCCTCTCCTTTTACATCAACTGGTCAAAAATGGAGTGATGTAAAGTAGCTACCCCTGGCAATGTTATTCTAGCTTGTTTTTGCTCCCTATCGAAATAATGAATATTCGCCATTCGATTCAATGGTAATACTATTCTTTCCTTGTTGCAGATGCATTACCATCTAGTAATCTGTAGTCACTCAGTAAAGGTAGTCGATTTTGATTGCTATAATTGTCTCATTTCATATTAGTTTGGTAATATCAAACTGCCTTTGAACCGGTGATTGTTGACTGAGATCACTTTTTTTAGTGATGGTTTTCTTGAGTTCTTTTCCCTTTTTAGAGATCTTGATGACTATTGCCTAGACTTTTTGACTAGCCGAAAGTGCACTTTCTGTGCAGCAAATAAAAATAAAAATAAATAAAAAT